ATATATATGCTGTGCAAAGAACTCCCATTCTGTATTTTTAAAATAAATATATCAGACAGCTCCTCAGCTGAAAACTTGAAAATTAGATCAAAATGAATTAGAGAAATGCTTTTTAAGTCACCCCTCTTTCTTCAGAATGTCTTCGGTCATAAAAAAATCTAAATTTTTCAGTTTGAAGTCGTCTTCATTTGTCGAACAGATAGACAACCAAAAATTTTGATATACAACTASATTTTTTCAACAGGTTTTTCCGCTGGACAACCTGAAAAAAATCCTTATGTCTACCCCTGCAATATACCAAATGATCAAATGCATAGATCAATTGATGTTTAAAGTTATCAGCATAATAAGATCCAGCATGTCTGATGTAAACAGGTGGGTGATGATAAAACTATTAAGCAATGGAAAATGGAAGCACCGGGTTATGGAGAGGAAGAGGAGCCTCTTAACACTGTCCTGGGCAAAGTAAGAGCTAGTTTGTTGTAATAATTAATGAAATAACGTCATACTTTAGTGACTTGTCACTTAAGGAAAAAAAATCTCTTGTAGACGGTTTTCACAGGAATCGACCATCACCAGAAGACAGGTGTGTTTGCAACATGTGGCCAGCAGGTGGACATCTGGGATGAGCAGAGGAGCAGCCCAGTCCGCTCCTTTACCTGGGGTGTAGACAGCTTCAGTTCTGTCCGCTTCAACCCTGTGGAGGTAAAACACAGCTGGATCCACCACACTGAGCCGGTCAAATTCATGCACATCACTAATACTTTAAACTCTTATCATTAATTATTCATTTATGCAAACCTCTTATTGATTCCTTCTAAATGATTTGTTTGTCCTTCCACAGACAAATCTTCTTGGAAGCTGTGCGTCTGACAGAAGTATAGTTTTATATGACATGAGGGAAGCAACACCGCTTAAAAAGGTAGTTTTTACTGCACAGTTTTAGCATGAATGTCCTTTTTTTCTTAGTCTTCTCAAGTAGGAAAAAACAAGTGGCAATTGTATGTTTTCATCTAGGTTATTATGACAATGAAGACCAACACAATATGCTGGAACCCAATGGAAGCTTATTACTTTACTTGTGCAAATGAAGACTACAAGTGAGTTTAAGACAAAAAAAAATCCCTTTTAGCCATTTAACCAATTAAAAACCTTCTTTATCTGTATTCATCAAATAAATGTGCTGTAGCTCTCCACCATTTAAATAAATAAAGTCTGTTTTGGTTTATTTGATTCCACTCTGATCAACAGATCTGTTTAACCATGTCATCTGAAGGTCTAACACTGGCTTCTGTTATCTTACCAGCCTGTACACATATGATATGAGGTTCCTTGAAAAGCCCGTAATGGTGCATATGGACCACGTCTCTGCGGTACTGGATGTTGATTACTCTCCCACTGGACAGGAGTTTGTGTCCGCCAGTTTTGACAGGACCATTCGCATCTTCCCCAAAGATGCAGGACACAGCAGGTCAGTGACTCCTCCACGCTGGGTAGAGACTGATTGCAGTAAGATTTGTTGTTGAATACTGTACTTGAATATACAGTAGTTTCTATCTGTCACAGCTGTTGTAGTGAGTGGATGTAAGTACGCAATAATGGTGCACTTATTGAGTGACTGGTTTAAACAAAATCAAGGAGTGAGTGCATTCATAATCATAGTTACATTTTTGTTATCCAAACTGCAGAATTAGAAGACACCTTTATGTGAAGATCTAAGCAGACAAATGGCTCTTTTACACCTTTRGGTTTTGTAGAACCTTTTGGTTCCAATCACAATTCATAGTCTTAAACCAATACCTTTCTGGGCTGTGACTGTTGGTGATGAATTCCCAAACAGCACGTCAGGAAGTCTCTAAAGTGTCTCAAAACATTTGTGGAGAATTTCAGTTTTCTTCTTTTGGTTGCTTACAGCCTTGTGGCTTGAACTTTACGCATATCTCACAAAATATTTGTGTAGTTGTCGTAGGCCTGGGCGATAATAAATGTCGATAACCGACGTCATTTTGCCCGTGTCGGTATTTTCAATATTTWAAAAAATGAGGYAAATAGAAACCTGCTCGTTTTCTGTTGCGGTCTCAAGCTGCCCAGTCTGATACAGACGTTGCGTTCAACAAGTCAAACGAACCTCACAGCTTAGTTTATCCAATCAGAGCAGAGCAGGGCGGGTCTTTCTGATATCGGTGCAGCAGTCTGCAGGATAAACACCGGTCAGCCTTCAGCTCCTGTCCTGAGCTAGCAAACCCCGTCCTCTCTCCACACTTTGATCCCAAGCTACCTGAGTTGTTGGTATCTAAAATCTATCGCACTATAAGTTTATGTGTTCAGAGCGTCGTTATCGAACAGATATGTCCAACTTTGCTCACGTTACAAAACTCCTTTCCACGACAGCGCTGTTACAGGAGTGTGCTGAGGTGCGCACAAGCAGGAGACAGGAGTTGTTCTGAGAGAGAGCCACTGTTTCAGCTCTTCTAACGAAACAATATTAAAACAGATGAACATTTGACTCTCCCCTTAGCGTTACCCTCCCACCCCCCCCCCGCCTCCACACACACACACACACAAACGCTATGTTCCTGCTATGTAGTTTATCATAAACATCTACAAATTTCCTTCTTCACAATATAGCTTGCTAATAGGGGTGTAAGAAAATATTGATACACTGAAATATCGCGATATTTCATTTCCCGATACTGTATCGATATTCTAAAGCCCTGTATCGATTTTTAATTAAGGTTTAAAATGTCAACCTTCTTGCCAACCATTCATTTTTATGTTGTAGTTCAGCCTCTGACCACTAGTTGGCAGCAGTGAGCCAGCCATTTGGCTCCTCTACCTCTTGAGCGCCAGAGAGTAAGGGTAGCATTAGCATTGTAAGTAAACATTAGCTTTTCTTTTTTTTTTTCAGTAAAAGTTTTTTATTTAATAGAATTTTTGGACAAAAAATCGCAATATATCACAATATGTTGCCTTGCTTACAGTATCGCAATATATCGGGATATGTCGTATCGTGACCCCTCTGTTATGATATGTATCGTATCGCCAAATTCTTGCCAATACACAGCCCTACTTGCTAATATTTAGAACCATACTGTGACTGAACTGCTCTGTGATTCAATAGAATAAATTAAATTGTATTAAATAATTACATGAGCTCTCTAAATAATATATTTTTGAAAGCAATAMTTATTTTAATAGAGAAATCAGTCAGTCTAACAAATAAAAACATGTATTTAAGTTATTTTGTGCAGTACAAAAGACATATTTTTAAATATAAGATTATATACTATGTTTCTCAATTCATTGCATCCCATGTAGACCACACCCTATGTGGACCGTAGGCCGCTCATGAAAGCTGCACAAATGACGGTCTAGTCTACAGATGACATATGATTGCGTGACCATATGCTGCCTCGTTACCAAAGTGATATGTTTTATATCACATGCTTTCAGTTGCTTTATCATGGCATAACTTAACAAAATTCAGTATTATTAGAAAAACATTACATATAAATAATAAAAAAATAATGTTGGTTAAGCTCCAGTATCAGTGCTTGTAACTGCATTTTATTTAACACCTCATTGCAGCAAAAATATCTGTTTCTAAACTTATATTTAGAAACAAATTATTTTGTCAGTGATAAATTTGACTTCCACTGTAACCCACCCACCCACCAAGAAAATAAAACTGCTGAAAAATTAATTTTAAAAAACCTCCACCATCTTAGTTTCTCTGTTTAATTTGCTGACGGAGCAATGAATTCTAGGATATTGTCGGCCGCATAGAATATTCAGATGCAGTCTGCGTTTTGGGGGTTTTGTTGGCTGCATGAGTAGGTGCCCACGAKTTGGGACAACCTCTGATGCGGGGCAGTGACATAAGTGGACGACAAATATGCCCTACGTTGGCTGCGACCCCTGAATTGAGACACAGCCATTGCAGTAATTGCAAAATGTCAATTATTAATCAGTGACAGCTTTTCTGACAGTTAATTGCACTCAGTTCGATTTTTCCCAACCCTATACCTAGGTGTGTGCAAAGCATGCTGAGGCAGGTTCAATATTGGTGGAGGTGGACATCGAATCAATGTACATTGCTAGAAAACTCTATTTCAAGCCATGCACCCAAATGTAGTTTAGGATTTTCTAAAAATGGTATCCTTAAAAAGTGGCTGGTCACAAACATTGAAAAAATTAAGCTTTTTCTAGCAATTTTGAGTCATCAACTAGTTTCCAACAGTTTCCAGTTAATTAGGATCTGTCTTATCCTGATGACTGAGGATCTACACAAACTACTTGAACAGTTGAGATACAGTCATTGTGTTGTGTCGTTTACATTGTAGTTTTCTTTCTTTAAATTCAGGGAAGTCTATCACACCAAGCGAATGCAACATGTCATCTGCATAAAGTGGTCAGCAGACAACAAGTACATCCTGAGCGGCTCTGACGAAATGAATATCCGACTGTGGAAGGCCAACGCAGCGGAGAAACTAGGAGTGGTGAGCGCCGTCTTGTTTCAGCTACACTCTTTCTGCTTTTATGGTTTTATAATGTATGCTGCCTTTTTGGCAACTGTCTGGTTAATTTCTTATTGTAATGTCTACATGCTGATCAACAGCTGCGTTTTCCTGAGTTGTCAAATATCGGGTCTTTTTTTATGAGTTGGCTGCTTTGTTCAGCACAGCCTTGGCCCTGCGCCCACCTCAGCACTGTAACAGTGGGTGACTCTGCCAGGAGCTACAGCTCTGCTGTTGCCAAATGCACTGATGGATGCTGACTGAGGGTACGATCACTCTCAATAAGTACCCTGGACCACCAATTGGCACACTGGCTCTTGTTGACAGGGAAGTCCTAAAAAAACTTAAAGCCCTTGGTGTTTTGTTTTGACAAATCGCCGGAAAATAAATTTACAAAATTCTTTCTSTTTTTTGATATCTCTGTGAGAACTGTTGTCACTAAATTTAATAATATTAATGCGTTCTTTACTCTCACGTGGTCCTTGTTTAAACACCACTCCCAGCTAAATCATATAGATTATCTTATGTGCCATCTTCAGCAGTCATTTTTCACTCTTAATCAGATTCTTTCCTGCTTATTCTCTTAATGCAGATTCATAGTGGAAATGGCCTCCTTTTGGCACTTGCTTTCCTGTCACAGTATAAGAGAAGATTTATTTGCAAGCTTTGCACTTAAATAGATCAGACAAGGGCTGCTCTTATCAGCAGTTTAAATTGTCCAATCACTTAAACGGAGCTCACATAATGGAGCATTAAGAATCAAGTTGTACTGAGAGGGTCTTTAATTACCAAGGAACACTGAAATGCTGAATCAAGTCTTGGTCTGTCTAAAGGCATCATGCTGGTCTGATGGGGACCTATCTGACTGCTGCTACATCCTTTTCCCACATCTTTTTAAACAGCTGAAGTTGTGTCCTTCTGTAATTAAGACTAAGTTTTAAAATATGTATAATCAAACACTGCTTATTTACATATGGTATTCTGGAAACTGTGACTTAGTCTGCTACTGTTTTTCATTTTAATCGTCTTACCAGCTTTTTCTCCAACCCCAAACCACTTGTAGACAAGCTGGTAATATTTATTGTCCATTGTCAGAAAGTGCAGGGTCAGCAATAATGTTTTTGCCCGTGTGAGTATGTCTACCAGTTTTTTTTTATACCAAATTATCTTATGAGTTGTTGGAGAAATTTACTCTCAGAAAATAATCACTGGATGTACATCTACAAATACTCGTTACGTTCTCTCCAGACTACATTCAAAATGAAGACGTTTGCTCGCTTCTCTTCCACARGTCTGTTATAGTTCACATCAGACACACAGATCATCTCTAGGGAAACCCCTCCCACTTCAGTAGACCGCACAGGTTTTGTTCCAGCCGGTGTCTTCACTCTGATTCTGAATCTGCTGTTTGGCCACAAATCTGTCACAGATAGAGCACCACACTCTTCTGGAGACAGGCTTCTCCGTGCACTTCTGTTCCATCTGCATTCAGCAGTTTTTTGCTTAAAGTGTCTGAAATAGTCATATAGATGGATCTGACTCAAAACTACGCATGTTGTTTGGACACACAACAGGTCATTGAAGCAAAATTATTTCTGTTTGAGCACTTTTCCTCATATAAAAACACGCCCACAGACTTCTAACCAGTCACACAATATTTTTTGCAAGCTCCTGGGAGAAAAAGTTTGTCCGGGACCTTGTGTCGAGACGTAACAGACAAAGTTACTCTGAGATAGYGGTGTCCCGATACCACTTTTTCACTTCCGATACGATACCAATCTTGACCCGATACCATATCAGTACGAATCACACACTTTTACCTGTTTTGTAGTGTGAAATCTCAGAAAAGTCTTGATCAGGTCAAACAGTGAAAAAGAGTAGGTATGAGAAAAACTGACCCATTTATTTTTAACCATACATTTTAAAGTGAACGTTCTACAATTTAATAAAAATAAATTAGAAGACCCTGAAAAATAAAACCTAATAAAAACAAAATGTACTTTTAAAGTGTAAAATAACAATTCAAAGTCACTCCAGTTATTCTTTTTTTACTATCTGTCAGCCTTGTGCTGCTTTATGGTGGGAAAAACTGAAGGTGGGGACAAAACAAAACCTCACATTATTGTCCAATGTCCAACTCTTCAAAGTTAAGAGTCCACAGCTCCAATTTTACTGACCGTAACCAAAACAACATGATCATTGCACTTGATTTTCACTAAAACAAGTGTGTAAACAGATTAAACATCACTGTAATAACAAGAGCAAAAATAAATAGTAAGAATTAGTCAGTTATTTAAATTGATAGCTACCTTTCTTACTGCTGGATCTCCACCCAGCTGCTGCCAGGGTGGAGAGCAGAGCCTGGTTGTCGCTCCGGTTTAGAACGTACACGGTTCTGTGCCCCCACAGAAAACTTGTGCATGACAGTTTTGCACTTAGCTTCAACTCTGTTTTTGATGAAAATAGAAAGTACTGCTGACATCGCTCCTACAGCTAGCTACTTTGTTAGTGCAGTGAGTGCAGCATGTTGTTGTGATCGCGTGAGCTCTGCATGCTGGATCCAAGCGTTGCTGGATAGAAACACTGGAGCGGAGTCAGTGGACTGGTGGAACGAACTGCTAATATCGAAGCACTTTTATCTGACATTTTTTATGCAGGCCGATAAAATCCGATACTCGTTTTTTAGCTAATATCGGACCGAAATCAGYTATCAATATTGGATCAGGACACCTCTATTCTGAGAAAAGAATGACATGGATTATCATCAATAGAAATACATAGAGCTGTATTTTAATTTGTYCAAAAAGACAAAACAGTCTTGTTGTTTTCAAGAGTTTGCACTTCAAAGACATAAGTTACACAACTGATGTTACAATACAAAGAGTTGGATGTTGTCTTGATATTTGTTAATTTTATATATTGTGAAATATGTTAAAAAATAAAAGTTTATTATTTAAAAAAAAAAAACAAAGTACTGAAAATTGGTACCGTTAAGTACCGATACTGATTCCCAGGTACTGGATATTGGTACCGAATCGATTCAAATGCCYAAGTTACCCATTCCTATTTGTGCTGTAAACAACCCTACCAAATGAGATGGCTGTAAATGAGTGCCGCAGGCTTTGTGAGACAATTTTAATTTAACTTGGAAGCCTTGTCAACACAGACTGAATTCACTCCCTCCGCTGCAATTGCTAAACTACAGACAGACCAAAATAGTGTAGAAAATTGACGTCATCATTCACAACTCCTCCTTTGGTTCACTGACTGCTCCGGTTGAAATTCTACCAGAGAAATCCTTGTAAATGGGAGAAAGTCCAGATGGAGCAGAGTAGGGAGATTAGAATCGAGCAGAACTGAGTAGGAAGGCGATGGCCCGTCTAGGTCAGAGAAAGTTGTCTGGTCTCATGTTGTATTGAACAATAAACCAAGCTTTACCCTGAGCGTGACATCTTGTGATTCGTGATTTGGTATTAATGCTATTTTTAAGGTTTGACTAAAACCACAACTTTAGTAATCTCTAAACATAAGAAGAACTCGGTCTAAAACTCTGTCATGAAATGTGGCAGGTGATGTGCTCCAAGGGTTGCCAAGCCTTTATTTCTAACTGGTTGAAAAAAGTATGATGTGTTGTAGTTTCAGTTTTTGCAGCATTACATTAATGAAATCTTTTGAAGAATTTCTTGGTTTGGACTGTTGTAAGTCCTACTCACTAAATCAGACTCTTCCACTATAAACCGGTGGTCATCATTTTCTGCTGTTTCATACTTTGCATGTTGGGTTGAGATGGTCCGGTGTCACTGCAGAATTAGTTTAGTTTAACAGGATCAGCATCTAGCAGCTCTTCCACAARAAATTCAATTTGAGACAAATCATTGCTTTTCATTAGAATAAAAGCCTGTGAGGAGAGCAGTCCAGGACAGACCGGTCCAGTTAGCCGGTGGTTTTTATGAGRGAAACAGATGGAGGAAAGTTGTGCTGTTGTTTTCACTTTTTAACAGGCATTGATTTGTTTTTGAATGACTATGTTGTCAAGCTTAACACACTGCATAGTGTTCAATGTTTTATACTGAACAAAATACCCCCTGAGGTGAACAGTAGGACTTGTGGTTCTTCACTGGATTCATACTTGAGTGAGGAGCCCCTTGGGCCACCCTGCTGTCACTACTGGAGCCAGAGCTGGTGGACAAGCTGAGAGAATAATTATAACTTGACAGTTTAGTAAGACCACTGAGCCATATGTGGGGATGAGTTTCAGCAACGCAGTGTCAGCAAGGACCAGCCTTCTTTGTGCAGCTGTGGGAAACCTGCTGTTCTCATATTTACAAAAAAACTTTCCTAAAATGGCCTACATTTACCTGAAACTCATGACCACTGCTTCAAAGAAGGTAAACAGAGTTGTTTTCTTGCTGAGGTAGATGTGCTGAATACAACACTTCTCTGAGATATGAATAAGAAACTTCGGCAAACATAAACCAAAGCTGTTTCAACTAAATCCCCTCGAAAATGGCTTCTAAACATCCACCAGCTCTCCATGTTGTTTTTAAACAGCACTCATGTCAAGATGCTCTGAGCCTAATCTCACCACAGCATCTGTTTAGTAGCTTGGCTTGTAGCTTTTGATCACAGCATACCATCACCTTCAGAAGATTACCTTCTTCTCATAACAAAATGTCAGAAAAGTGGATTAATTTCTACCACGGCTGAGTAATATGTTGGTCCTATGAAATCCTGTTGTTTTCCTTAAATTGTTTTTCCTGTTTCTGAGTTTTGTGCATATA